CCAATTCTGTGAGGAATTCTAATGTGACCCTCAGCCAAAAGTCGTTTGTATTTCAATCCTACACAACATATTTTGTTTCCGGAATTTTTTTAGTTTTTTTTTTTTTTTTTTTGGGCGYTGGGGCTGCCCGGAACCCTGCCCGGGGGTCATACCCGGGCGTGTACCCGGGCAGAAGTTGGGTGCCCGGGCGCCCGGGAAAACAGCCTAGGTTTTTCACTCAACTCTTCCTTTGAGCACACATTCGTTCCTTGCTGTTCAGATCCGGCGCAAATCGTAGATCCTAACGCAGAAGTTGCAGGTTCAAATCCCGTTTTTCCCGGGAGGTATGACTGTCGGCATTCTCCATTAAGAGATTGCAGCGAGAGTGAAATTTCCTTTGCCTTCATCCTCTCTCTCTTCACTGCCCCAAACCTGAGTTCTTTGGACCTCTGTATAGCCCTGTCATGGACTTCAGAACTGTCATGGAGTCATGTTCATTGGGTGAGGGCTTCAGGTATTGAGGGGGGGAAGGGTAGGCGAGACGGGAACACATAGCCCTGTGTATTCCGGGAAGGAGAAGGGACAGTGATGGTTTTGCCTATGCGCCCTTTACAGGAGGTTGTTGTAGGTATACCAAATGCCTACCCCTCATGTACACACCTCCTCTTGCTTTCCGTGTTCTGGGCAGTTTTTGCCTACCCCTCATGTATACACCTCCTCTTGCTTTCCGTGTTCTCGGCAGTTTTACTCCTACGTCTTATTAATAGTCCACGTGGAAATCACCCACACACTGTGTATGCTTTTTATCGCAAAAGGGCTCCTCCTCATAATCCCACCCTAACCTCCATTTTAGTTAAACTGCCAATACACGACGGTCCCAGGCTTGCAGCGAAATCTTTCATCACCTACGAAAATGTCGGAGGCTGGGGGCTACCGGACCACAATGGCTGGTGGCGCCAGCCAAAACAGAAAAGAAGCACGCTGCTGCCGGTTCGGAAAAGCTTGGCACACAGTGGAAGGCTGCCAGGCCCCGGTGTATTGGTGGTTTAAAGTCCTGAGCCTCCTCCTCCTACCCTCGTCCCAGGTAAGGTCCTGGAATGTCCTTCCTATCCCCTGAGTAGTATTCTTGCCTGACATTTTGAAGCGAAACCCACATCCTGCTGCCATTTCTGCCTGTCCTCCAGTTGCTTGCTGGTATGCACGGTAAGAAAGACACCACTTTGGCCTACCCGAGCCATGGGGTGTGTGAAGGGGTGTGCAACATTCTGAGTACCCTGGCTTTGGTGAATTTTGACTCATTCCGCCGACAAAAAAATCCGAACAAAATCAGGGATGTTGCTTAGGTTCCTCTGCATCGGGGGAACAAAAAAAGAGGGTTGGCTCATGAAAAAGTCGTTGCGCCAAACCGAATGCATTTTTCAATCAAAGTCGATGTGACCCGGTAGGAGTGACGTCACTGACGTGTCAAGCTGGGGGGGCCTGGGGGATTGTCTTTTTGGTTTGTGAACATAGCCTCAGGTGAACTGGTGGTTTAAAACTTCAAACGCCATCCGTGCATCAGGGCCTCCTCCACCAAACTGGGCCTTCTTGGCTGCGGCCCTGCGAGACAGTTTTCCCTGAAAGTCCCACTGGTCACTTGGGGTAACCCCAGACCGATCGTGCATAATGGTGGGTCCTTGCAAGAGTGTTCTTGGATGCGCTGATGGTGGAGCTTGTAGATTAGGAGTGCCTGCTAAAATTATTATTAAGTCAGAAAGCTTCTGATTTCCTAGTAAGTGTCAGTTTGTAACTCAGAAGTAGTCTCTCACATTAATACAGAATAAATGACTACTCTAGTAACTCTACATGATTTGAAGTTTTGAACTCTTTCGGATTAAACTGCTACTACACGGGCCCAGCCTTGCGGAAAGTTTTTGTCGCCACAAGCAAAAGTCGGATGTGCCGCGCGCCCAGGGCAGCTGTTGGGAAAAAAAAAATCTGTAGCCTCCAAAGTGGTGCGGGTTTCATGCTGACACCCGCGGGCTGATGTGTGGTGTACTGGTGCTTTAAGAGTAGTAAGATGGTAACCCGTAACATTATAGAATCAGAGGGGACTTGGAACGCGCAACTAGTATTTAATTAATTTTAATATTTTAATATTTATTAAATTTTATTTATTTATTTAGTAGTATTTGCCATTTGGGCCGTCGGGTCGGTGCTTTGCCTGGGACATCGTCTCAAGATTCTCAACTGTACAAATTCACCCCTCCTGGCCCTCAAGGACATGCTGCTGGCCTGCTGGCCAGACAAAAAGACTCTAGCTGTGGGCCCTGTGGGATGCAAGATCACTGCAATTCCTGCAGAGTGTGGTGATCCCCAACCAAGAGAATTACCTTACTGGATTGACCACTACTGTCCCAACATCTACACTGTTACTCTCGTAGACCCCAGCCAGTGATAGATGTAGGCTAATGAGTCGGATCAGACAGACTGGCGTAGATGCTGATTGACTGGCTGCGTGCAAGGCATGGATATGATTTGAAGGCTATTCAATACATGATGAATATGATTGGTTGCATTGTTGCAAGAGTTGTGCGGCATCTTTTGTGTGACACATACAACATGCATGCCCATGCAGATGCAGTGGCGCAGACACACCGTTCTAATGATGTGCAATGTCGCCTGATGTGCAACACACTTGCAAATGTTTGTCTTCCGGGGTTGGGGGGAGGGGGGGGGGCGAGAGAGAGAGAGAGAGAGAGAGAGAGAGAGAGAGAGAGAGAGAGAGAGAGAGAGAGAGAGAGAGAGAGAGAGAGAGAGAGGGTTGGGGGGGAGGGGAAGGGGGAGGATTAACGCAGGTAGGTGACTGTTTCAGTTTGAGAGTGCGCGTGGACATACACATACTGGCAGTGTTTGTGGAATTTATGCCTTCATCAGTTTAAAATGATAGCATCTTCCCCTTCTTCCCCTTCTTCTTCTCCTTCTTCTCCTTCTTCTTCGTTCTAAACTGTTTGTTGCTGTTTGTGGTGGTTGTTGATGCTGCTTGTTGTTGCTTGTGGTTGCTGATGGTTGTTGGTTGTGGTTGGTTGGTTTGTTGGTTTGTTGGTTTGTGCTGCTGCTGCTGCTGCTGCTGCTGCTGCTGCTGCTGATGATGATGATGATGATAAAGAAAGTTCATTGTTGTTGTTGTTGCTGCTGCTGCTGAAAAAGAAAGTTCATTGTTGTTGTTGTTGTTGCTTGTGGTTGTTGGTTGTGGTTGGTTGGTTGGTTGGTTTGTTGCTTTGTTGGTTTGTTGGTTTGTTGGCTTATTGTTGTTGCTGTTGCTGTTGCTGTTGTTGTTGCTGCTGCTGCTGCTGCTGCTGCTGTGTTGGTGGTGGTCGTTGAACCCAACAACCCAGGGCATCCATTTGCTAACCAACAGTTTGGACTTTGGAAATGGCTTTGTGACCCCTTTGCTTTGTTTGCAACTTTGCACAATAGAACCCTGCCCACAGAAAACTGGACTCCTTCGTAGGGTCAGGCGACTCAGGCTCCAGTGATGCTATGCCTATGCAAGCTAAGCATGCACCTGCTGGCAAAACCCTGCCGCATTCATGTTCACTTGACACAAACATAGCACCGCTGCCCCCTGACAGTTTGTTCGGGCTTTGCTTCTCCCATGCACCCAAGCCTGGTGGAACATTGCTCTCATGTTTTTTTCTCAAACTTCTACCTATGTATTTCATAAGGGATGCTGACCCGTTTCGCAGCACATGCTGCTCCCCACAAATAGATTGGAACTTGTGCTTGAAAGAAAAAGAAAACAAAAAGAAACAAACAAAAAGCCTGGAACATTGCATTTAACCACTGACAGGAGACCCTACCGTCTTCCCCCGAACATAACGCACCCTAAAAATGAATGTATACGAGTTTTGTTTCCGGCCAGATACAGCCAAGATGAGGGTGCGTTGTGTTCGGGGGAAGACGGTAGTCAATAAATAAAAGGATGGTACTTGTGAAAACACCGGGCAGCTTCTCTCCCAGCCTCCCAGGAGATGAGGAGGGCAACTACCAATCTCTTTTTCCAACAATCGCAGTTTTATGGCCTTGCTTGTGTGCACAATCTGAGACAGCCTATGGCAAGTGGGACAAGAATATCTTATTCTTGGTCCCAATGGAACTTTCAGGTCCCCTTCCGCAAGCAGATGGTTGGTGGTCCCTACTACCTAGTAGTCATCTGGCAGTTCTGGCAACTTGGCATGGCAGCAAAGTTTAGTGTGCGTGGCAACAAGAAACACTGACCGCTCTGGTTTTGAAATCTGTTCCTTCTCTGGATATGCCGCTGGCTATTTTAGTATTTTCAAATACATTTCCATCCCAGAATTATCCCTGAATTAGACTGCAAATGCACTGTACTTTCCCGAATTTACTCAGGCATTCGAAGTGGGAGCAGAAGCAGGGCAAGGAGTTACTGACAAGGTGTCTGCTGCTGCCTGCGGATTGATCAGTTTGGTGGAGGTGGGAAGGATGTGGTGGACTCTGCCTTCGCTACTAGTCTTGAGGTTGGCTGACGATTGGGAGATGCCACAGGTGGAGGAGTGGAGGTGGCCGTGGGGTTATTGGAGTTGTTTATGCGGGAGGCAGAGGAGGTGACTGTGGCGCGGGTTGGGGTGCTGGATTTGGTGTTGGTGGCGGTGGTGGTGCTGGTGTTGGTTGTGCTGGGGGCGGCGATGCAGTTGTCGGCGATGAGGGTGGCGGGGCTGGCACTGGCGGCAGTGTTGGTTGAACTGGTGGTGACGCCGTTGGTGACGAGGGTGGCAGGGCTGGCTTTGGTGGTGGTAGCGGTGGAGGTGGTGCTGAGGCTGTCGTTGATGAGGGTGGTGCGGCTGGCTTTGGTGGTGGTAGCGGTGGAGGTGGCGGTGAGGCTGTTGGCGATGAGGATGGTGGGGCTGGCTTTGGTGGTGATAGCGGTGGAGGTGGTGCGGAGGCTGTCTGTGATGGGCGTGGTGGGGTTGGCTTTGGTGGTGGTGGTGGAATGGGTGGTAAAGTTGTCTGTGACGACGATGGTGGGGCTGGCTTTGGTGGGGGTGGTGGAGCCGATTGTGTTGTGGGTGGGGCAACTGGCTTTGGAGGTGGGGGGGGTGAGAGTGGCGGGCTTGACGGTGGTGCGGATGGTGGAGTTGGCTTTTGTGCAGGAGGGGGTGGAGTTGGCTTTGGTGGAGGTGGTGGTGCTGGACCTGGCTGTGGTGGGAGTGGTGGAGCTGTTTTTTCTGGTGCCGGCACAACTGGCTTTTGTGGAGGCGGTGGGCCTGACTGTGGTAAGGGTGGTTGAGATGGCTTATCTGTGGCTGGCACGGCTGGCTTTTGTGGGGGAGGTGGACTAGTCAGCGGTGGAGGTGGTGCAGTTGGCTTTTGTGGCGGTGGTGGAGACGGTTTCAACGGCTGTGGAGGTCTCACAGTGGACTGATCAGGCAAGCTCAGTTGTTGCAAAGTCACGCTGCTATTTGCCACAGCTGCCGCGGATTGCACGTTAGGCGGTTCTGACATCTGATTGCTTGGCCTTGAACCTCGACCACGCCGGGTCCTCTTCGATGCCTCTTGGTTCTCAACAGGAGGTGAAGTTGATGGAGGACGGACAACCAGATTGCCCTTGTTAACTTCTGTCTGTTCTCGTGCTGCAGGCTGCGGCGGCGCAGGGGTTGGCACTTGTGGTGGTGGCGGAGCCGCAGAACCACTCGATGCTGCAGGCTTCGGTGGCGCAGGGGTTGACACCTGTGGTGGTGGCGGAGTAGTGGAAGCACCCGATGCTGCCACACCTATTCCTCCCGGATTGGCAGAGTTGGTGAGATCTCCATCCATCCTCCCTGATACATCCCGCTGAGCTGGCTCTGGGCTTTTGCTGGCAGATGGCTTCCTCCCTGAAGTACGGCGCGATCTTCTCCGAGTGTCTGAGCCCGGTGACTGGGCGACTTCTAGTGGATTAGAAGGTTGTGTGACTGCAGAGGGTGGCTGCACCCCTGGTATAGGAGGCACTGGCAGCTTTGGAGGAGCGGCTGAGTTTGAATCCTTTCGAGCTCCTTGTGCAGGAGCTGTAGAGGCCGGTGAAACGGAGGGTTGCTTGACAGCAGCGGCAGCAGACGTGCTCTGTGAAGCAGATGCAGGTTGAGTAGGTGGGGGAGGACTCTGGACCCCTGTTGGGTCGCCAACAGAGCGCTGGGCATTAGTAGGTTTAGGAGGAGAGGCACTGCTGATTTTACGTGGCTGAGGAGAATGCTGGGTGACATCAGCAGGTTGTGGTGTTTGTCCACTCTTCTCAGGCGAAGGATGACCGGGAATCAGAGGAACAGGAGGAGGAGGAGACCGGCTCCCAGCTCCATCGGTTGTGGATGTCTGATGCGTGTCAGGTTCTGCTGGACCCAATATACTCAATCTGCTTCTCCTATGCTGACCAACGCTCGACTTTCGCTCGGGACCACTTGCTGAGTGTGGGTGTGCGCTTGGTGCAGGGGGAGCTAAGGAGTTGCCTGGGGTAGTCCCAGGTTGAGGTGCAAGTCCCGCAATCGGTAACGGGGTTGGTATACCCACCCCTAGCGGTCCATGCAATTTTGGAACAGGTACACCGATGATACTGTCTTTCGAATCCAATTTTGAAACCCGCCTTGTCTCTTCATGTCTGAAATCCTGTACCTGGTTTGTACTCTGCGCTCGAGGAGAAGGGGTGCTACCCTGTTCCATCACCAATGGACTAGCACCATGACCACTTGCTGGGGTCGCACCAGCATGTCCCTCGTGTGCAGTGTCTCCCTGGTGTGATACACTGTCAGCTCCGTCCCTGAGCGGAGGAGGGTTGGCCACAAAAGCACTATGCGGTAAAATCACATTCGATGCATGAAGATGCATTTGCATTCGTTGCTCCAAGATTGCCATTTGCTCAAATTTCGCCGCCAACTCAATCATCAACAGCTTCACTTGTGATGGCCCAATTGCATTCAAAGGTGCTTTCACCTGGGGAAGGGGGTTTCCATGGAGATGCACTTCTTGTAGCGTCACCATCATGCAAACCTGTCATAATCTCACAGTCATGGAAACACACACAAGAACAACACTGGGGAACAAAAAAGTAAGCTACAGAAAAAAATGAGCAGGCCGTCTTCTATGACTGGATTGCACGAAACGACGAGTACAGGAGCTGGTTATGTGTCGATGGTGAGAGGAGGGAGGGGGGTTTCTGGGAACACAGGGCCAGGTCATTGCAGTGCTAAGCAGGAACATAGATTCATCACCAATCTTCCTTTTTTCATTCATTACAGAAAAAAAACAGAGCCTTAAGGCTCTGGCTCCTTTACGATTCTGGGGAGCATCGGTCCGGTTCTTTTTCTTTTTCTAATAAATCTGGACCATTTCTTGATCTATGCGTGTCATCGTTGGGCAGGGGCCATGCTAATCCTCTCTACATTGTTCCGATTTTAACGGGTGTCCTGAAGGACGCATCAGTCCGGTTCCTATTCCCCTGGCAAGTCAAGAAAAGTACATCATGTACGCACTCCAACACTTCTCTCCATTACGGTTGAGATACCTGAGTGGGTGACATTGATTACTTCCTTTAGGATGGATGTACCCCCCCTCACCCCTGGCTAAGCTAGTCTCCTTACCCTTCCCTTTAATGACGATATATATGCTGTTCTCTTGCCACATCAAACTGTCCGCAACCTCCTTTATGTCGAAGATCATTCCTCTGGCACCGTAGTGCAGCAGTACAATGTACAGACACTGTGTGATCTTCTCCTTTGCACAGCCACAGATACTGTTGCACTTGGGTGTACTCGCCATCATCTTTGTCACAATCACTACCACGAGATGGTTTCTGCATCCATGTGTGTACAGGATTGTCCCTCCGTTCCTGACTGCAGGCACCCTCCTCATCCGATCACTAAATGTCCATTTTGTGGCCACGGACGCTATGCTGAATGCATGCTCTTTTGTGGGGGGCGTTCTTCCTTTATTCTGGCCTGCAATAGACATGCTATTTGTCAGGAATGTATGGTTGGCATGCTT